GCTCTGTCTTCAAGTTTTCAACAAGCTTTAGTCTGTGGACTGAAATAAAAACAAGTAGATCACAGTTTGTCTTATGATTGAACGAGTGCGTCGTTTTGGATGGCTTTTTTCACTTTAAATAAATTATAATATGACATTTTGTACTTTCTCAAGTTCTCTTTGACTTTAAAATGTCATTTAAGATCTGAAATATTCAAGTATGAAATTAAAGGCAAAAATAAAACATAGGGAAAAAAACCCCCCGAAAGGTGGCAAGATACGTTTCTTTGATATTGCAAACATAAACAAAACATTATCTGATTAAATTAAATATTTTTTACACATCTCTTAAAATGTATGCTGGATATTTAATCTAAACATTAAAAAAAAAAAGTAGAGAAACTCAATCACATAAGTGCATCAGCTTATGACTTCAGCTGTGTTTTGGGTTCTATGTGGTTTAATTGGGATTAATTGAATCAACATCATCGCTCTGACATGTATTTTTATTCATGCGCTCCAGGGTGAGTGAGTCGGCTCCGTGGTTCTGAGTCCTTCCTGCAGCGTGTTTCACTGCCTGAGTGAAACAGCAAAGCTTAAGCCAAAGGCACTCTAGAAGGTATATGTCACTCTCACTGTTTTTTTATTTTATTTTATTTTTTTTTAAAAAAACAGCACCGTCTTCAATCTCATACTACTCTCACAAACCGGACTCTCCTGCAAGGATTTGATTTGTGCCTGGGGTCTCGTCCCTGAAACTAGTCGCCTCGTCCTCACTTTTGTGATCCTCAGGCAGCTGAAGCAACATATTGGCGAGAAGGTCGTCGCCTACGAACGCCAAAGGACGATCATGCTCGACTTGCCTTGGGCACTTCAGCTGTCACAGACTGTCCGTGTTGGACAGCTCGTCCTGACGGAGGGCTCTTAGCCAAGGTCAAAAGGAGCCAAGAGAAAATGCCATCCTGGATGTGCTAGATGTTCTTCAACTTTAACACAAAGTGAAAGTGATTTATATTCAAGTATATTCTCAGTTACACAGGATAAAATTAAAAGTGATGTGTATATTTTTTTCTTCTTTGTCACAAAGGCAGATGAATTATTTATATTCGCCGAGGCCTTTAACCACAAACGGAGCAGCTATAAATGTGACCCAAGGGATGGGTTAATAAACTGAAATGGAAACAGTCTCTTAAAGTAATATTAAATGATAAATTATGCCTACCTTTTCAGACAAGGCCCCTCTTTGCCCTCTGGGGGACACTGTTACTCAGAAAAATAACATGCAGCTGTGTTTATAATTCCTACCTCAGTCAGTTTTGGTTGGACATTAGGAGACGTCCTGTCCCATAGTCTTTTGTTTAAGCTCAAATTGTAACCTGGCTGGGTTAACTGGTATGGAGCGCGGAGCTTCAGGGCAGGAGCGTTAGCAGGAATTTAAAGGAGTTGCATGTCCCAGTTCCGCAGCTGGATGTGGGTTTGTGGCTACATGTCATTTAATAAGGCTTCAGGTATTATTTTCCCAGGTTTTCGCTTATAGAATGATGTGCAATCCATCATGCTCAAGACACAGTAGTCCTCCATGGACGCTCTTTTCTGTAGTAACTGCAGCAGGTCGTTTGATGTTTTCTTTTTGAAATAAAACAAAAATTAAACAGCAATTTAAGCATAACAATAGAAATAAATTATCTTCAATATCATTTGAACTTTTAGTCAGAGTGAGATTTTGAGTTTCTTATCGATAATTTAGACATCATATGACCTTGTTAAATGTGCAGAATTAGTTGTCTGTTAATGCAGTTATGCTGCTTCTACTGGAGCTTGTGGAAAGAGCTTGATGCAGGTTGGTAATGACAGATAATGCACCGTAAGTACTGGACATCTAGATCTGGCTCGGCCTTTTTCTAGTCTACATCCTGATTTAGTTTTTTCCTCTTTATCAGATACTCCTGTCGCCACAGACAGACTGCCAGGGTAAAAAAAAAAAACATCCACAAGAGAACCAGTTAGTGACTTTGTGTTTTTTTTTTTTTTAAAGAAGATATATCTATTCAGTTTAGATTTAAATTAAAGTTAATGGATATTTATTACCTCTTTATTATCTTATTTTAGCTATAAACTTTTTTATGCTATTTTCTTTTTTGTTGAAGCCATCAATAATCTTGTCAAGTGCCACTGACATTATTTTTGATTTTAGGTGTGAAACTGCATCCTTTACAAGTTACCAGAAGTAAAACGTATTTATTCATTTGTTTGTTTTGGTTTCTGTTCTGTGCAAAGTGTTACCCTTGTATGTATGGAAAAATGCTCTATTAATAACGTTATCGATTTTAATTACAGTCGTAAAGAATAGGCATGAATTTTCACACTTTGAAACATGCTCAGTCACTTTCTGTTCACAGACAGGAAAAAGTCCCCAAACTCGACTCTGAAGCTCAGAAACACACTGAACGTATTCACATCTATGCCGGAAACAAAGACTGAAACTGAGATGTTAATCGCTATAACAGATTTTTAAGTCCATATTTTAATGAGATCGCCATATTTTGACAAGAGTGATCAAATCACTTGCGGTTAAGCAACTTTTTAACTTTGTAATTTGTTTATCTTTGTTTAGACAGGAGTGTTTTCAAAGCTTCTGTTTCACCCGGTATCGTGCTAAACGCAAAACACACACGGACCTACAAACACACGTCTAAGGAACATTTACAGTCCCAAATTCACTCAGTCTGCATATTTCGGACTGATAAAACACAACCAGAGAAAACTCATGCACACAGGGTGGGAACATGGAAACCCCAAACAGCTTTTGTTTTTCATGTCAACATTTCAACACAACATTTAGAAATCATTTTATTTTGTGACTCAAGAAATATTTTACAAGATTTTTTACATTTCTAAGTTAGCAAATTAGGACTATGGTACTTACACGCTCATATTATTTGACAACACTCCTTTTTGAACTTTGAACTGGTTTTAAGGATGAGTTGACGTTTTGAAAGGATTTGGTGAAAGCAGAGCTTTTCGGCGAAAGGTCAGATCTGTGTGTTTGTGCTCATTTCACCCTTCTTTGAAAAAGAAAGCTGTCTGGGGGAAAGGATATTTTCCCAGACAGTCACAAAGGTGTACGTTTCTTCAGATATTTAGGATAAGTAAAATGCATTTTCTAAAATGAGGATGAGACGATATGATTAAAATCTCTTTTAATATCTATTCAGTGGTATTTTTTTTCATTTGTTTTGTTTTCCTTGTACCTTGGATGAAGCACCAAGCCTCCTAAATGTGAATTTTGCTTTTGTGCAACAGCATCACAGGTTTTACCAGCAATATGAGCAACTGGATCATCAGCATATATCCAATATGAGAACAAACATCTGGACGACAAAACGGATGGGACTAGATACGGTTCCTGGTGGAATTCCTGTTCACATTTTCTTTTTTTCTTTTTTTTTAAACACGACCAATAGCCTGGGTATTTTAGAAAGCAGAGATGGTTAACTCTTTTTGCACTTTATGTTTTCATGCCAACAAAAATGTCATATTTATAAAAAAAAAAAAAAAAAACTTTCTAGAGGGAAGTTGTTTTTTGTTTGTGTTTTTTTTTTTTTTTTTTAAAAATCCTCTTAATCTAGTGGATTATCTGGGCTGTATATTCTAAGAATATTAAAAAGATACAGAATCCTACTTTACACTTGCCAACTGTAGCTTTCTGTGCTAGACATCGCCACAGCAATGAGACGGTTCATTTTGAAAGCTGAAAATATTTGAGGGTAAAAGTAAGAACTTTAAACAAAAATCACAGGGCAGAACCTGCTGGGTTTCTTTCAGGAACTTATCACATTAACTCTTGCGTCTGTGGGATTTCTGCCTTTTTTGTTTTTGTTTTTAGAGAACCTAATCATTTCATCACCTGTGCCACCCTGGACCTGAAAGTGGTGAAGTATTAAAGTGCTGCAAAACCACTTTTACAACAAAATTTAGATGACCCTCTAGACACCGACTGCGTGCAACAAAGGAGCCATAAATCCGAGAAATGATATCCTACAAAGAAAAATACCCAGTACTGCAGATCCCAGGCTTTTTGCTAACTGCGAACGTAGCTGCCAGTATTTCACCGCGTGGTAACAGCGTTGATGTCCTCGGTTTGGACAGATGACAGAGCTGAAAGAATGAGCGATGGTTTTACATTATGGAAAAGTTTGTGGGATGGAGAGTGGGGCCAAAGATTGTTGTTTTTTTTTTTTCTTCTTCTCTTGAGGTCTGACTGTGGATCGAAGCCTACATGCCTTCCCCCTCTCCGCTCGGGTCCGCTGCGGCCCTCTGCAGCCGGCCAGAGCTCTGATCTTCACAGAAACAGGCACTAAAGCCAAGAGAGACAACGTCATAAAAGCCTTACATAAGGGTGATAATGAGTTTTGACAGGCAAACCAGAACATCAGGTTTGAATCACCTTTTTGGTCCAGACAGGCGAGTGCAACAAAACTCAAAAACACTGCTGCTTTTGAGCAGAATCCCTGCTTTCCCCCCACATTTAAAGTGGAATGAGAAAAAACTGAAATTAAATTTCTTAAAAGACCCATCCTCCTTTAATGGCCGTGACATGTTGGGTATTTGATCGTGAAGTTGCCTGGATTTACCTTTGCAGCCCACAGACTCCAGCAGCCGGGAGAAAACAAAAACAAGAGGCTGCTGTTCATTACATCTGCTCATAATTGTGAAACTTGGTGTTAATCTGGAAACATTCCTCTCAGATTTTCACCTTTAAATTGGTTTGTATGATTTTATTCTCATATTTTTTTAATGGAAGCTTCAGTTTTGAACCACACTGCTCTGTAGACAAAAAAAAAACAACAACAACAAAAAAAAAAACTCCCAGGTCTGAAGAAACAGCAGACCTGGAGGGGCTATGTCCCTCCAGGTCTAAATGTTCAAGGCTGATTTTTTTTATTTATTTTTTTTAATAAATTCCTGTCAGAGCAATTTAGGCTTTGCTTTAATTTCTGGTCCATGGAACCTGTTAGAAATTAGCCAAAATTATGTCTCAGCCTCTTAAGTCAGAATTCATTACAGTGCTAAAAACAGTACTGGACAAACAGGAGCTAATAATGGTGAAAAGTAATCATTTTTTGCTTTCTAACCCAATACAGAACAGCAGTGGATGGTGACAGTGAACCCATTCACAAAGGGAACATGGCAACGCCTAACGAGAGAGAGAGAGAAAAAAAATAAATAAATCGGCTCAACGCTGCGGTTAATAGGCCTGCATTTTCTGGTTTTTGAATCTATGAAAGAAAAATACATCAGCTGCTACTTCATCTCTCAGGAAAGTGTAAAATTATGGTAAGTGGACCACACAGCTTCCCCGCTACATGTTTTCATTCATAAATAGCTTACAGATGTCTCACTAGCAGCGTCCAGCTTTCTGCGCGAGGACGGCAGCGCAGCGGCGGAATGACTGTGCACTTGACCAAACGGCTTTTAATCCCATCACTTAATCGCTACTAATACAGGAAGCATTTCCAAATAAAGGGCTGCTGAACTTGGAGCCTTTTCCATAATCATTAATCTCTTTGCTGGAGTGTTCGAGGCTCCAGCTTGGTTCCTGTGTCTGGTTTCTTTACGAACAGCAGAGGCTTCGGCTCTTAACTCTGTGTACTCTGGCAACCCTCTGCTCCTGCGGCGACGGTGCGGTCGCAGCGGTTCCTCCTTCCAAAGAGACACTTATTTTTCACCTCCTTTACAAAACATTAGGACATTCTTGTTTCTCGTGGCTGATAAAATGCACACAACGCCGAGTTTTGACACGGACATGAAAGTGGGTTTGTTTGAATGGGAAATCTATCCCTGCTCTGATAACAATCAGACGGGCAGAGAGTTCTTTGTCTTTGAAGACGAGACTTTGACCCTGCGTGTGAACCGTTTTTTTCCAAACAGTCCTATAGATTCTTAGACAGATGGGTTCCTCGTTTTCAGACGGCGGGTTTTCTCTTGGCCGGGCGCGCAGTGTGAAAAGAACATTTGTCAGAATAGAGATCTGACAGGTGTTCCATCACAGAAAGCATTTTCATCCATTCCTTTAACTACGCCTGTTTTTTTTTTCCTCTGGGTTTTGTGAGGGTGGAGCTCAAACCATCTGCTGTGTGGGAGGCTTCAGCCTCCAATAGCTTCGGAGGTCAATTTCGCAAGTTTTGATATTTGAGATATGGCAAAAATGATTCTGGAACACAAAATGTTCTTTCAAAAGAAAGATTGTAAGCAAGGAAGGATTGACTTAGTAGATAAAACCAACAAAAAGTACTGCAGCTGCTTAATGCCGTCAGTAGAAACATTTTCGGATTCTGAAATTCATGATTAACTGCTTTAATTTAGCAGATTTAATTTTACAAACATCTAATTATTTCAAGAGAAGTGAATTGAAGGAAAGGATTAGCAAGGTTGATGCAGCTGTATATAAAGCTGCGGTTCAGTTGCTTTTTATTTCAAAAGTAAATAAATACATAAAAATGAACATATTCCACTTCAGACAATAAAATTTGTGATATATTCAATTTAATCTAGTAGTACGGATACATAAGTATGTAATGGATAACACAATTTCAGTCGCCCAGGAGAGTGTCGTCACTAAATGCAGTAAGGCACAATTTCAAAAACCTCTGAGTAACGTGAAGTATGTCAAATTTATAGTATGCCAGCTTCAGGCCTAGTCAAAGCAAAGTCCTTATTCCAAAACATGTCGAGCTTACATGTAAAGACAACAATGCAGTCGGCCGCTATATAGTCATGTCTAGTCGACTCAAAAAGCTCAAAAGTCTAATATAGTCAAAGTTACATCTCAAACGATTATAAATAATTCAAATAAACGTGATTGGGCCGTCCCCAGGTTCATCTTTTATGTCCTGAAGCATGGAAAGTTTAACATCTGCCTCCGCAAACCAGAACAACAAAACTCTGCTACATTTCCGACAGAGATAAAGGTCATTTTAATACGAATTTCTCTTGTTTTCATGAGAACTCGTCTCCAGTTTCCCGAAAACCCCCTAATGGATCCTGTGGGACACGCCGAGTTAAACGAAAATCCACACAGCAATGCTTCCCTTCATTTAAGCCTCATTTACGGCAAATTCGGTGGATATTTAGCCTTAATAGATTTCTAAAATAAAGTCACTTCCCCCAGTCTTCGACGGCCTCTAAATGTGATTTATGTTTTGCATAAATGCACTTTGAATCGTCATGTATCTATTAACAGCCA